ATATAGCCTGTTAAAAATGTAAAAATAGGATATAGAGTGGGTATTGTACTATATTTGTTTTACATTCTAATATAACTAAAGTATGTCAGTCAAAACTGAACTAAACTGGTCCACACAGCTGAGGAAAATATGCTGCCTTACACACAATATACATGACAATAATTAAACCATATACGGTGCACATGTCAGGTACACACACACACACAGGTGAGCAAATTCAAATTCCTTCCAACTACAGTCTCTTGAGACAACAGCAGTCAAACATACAATGAACCTATTTGCACACAGCGGACCAGAATCTATCAAAATATGGACACTTTACGTGGCCTAAAAGCCTAACATAGGCAGACAGTCAGGAATCCTTTTGCAACAAAGGCAGGACTGTGAAATTACTGCTTAATTATAATGTTAAATTGCTCTGCGGCAGCTCATACTAAGCCAAAGCACTCATCTGAGTGCACAGTTGATACTCCAAATGTGGCTTGGCGTGTCCAGAGTTTAGGTAAAAAGTGTCCTCACAAGGGGCACTGATGTTAAAAGTCTGTGAGCGTATACATCAGGGCGAGGTGTGTGTGTGTGTCTGGTTTGTGTCATGGTTATGAATAATCATGTTTTTTAATCCAAGAATGATCTGCAAATGAGGCCAACACTGGGACATTTCCATGACAACTCCAACATGCTTTTCTCTTGGGCTCTTTTTTTAACGTTGTTTTTAACAACGCCTTTAGTCACACGTTTGAATGTTTAAAGCATCTCAATGCATTTTTTTCTACCATTTGGCCAGGTGTGATGTGATGTTATCCTTTTGTGATGAGGTGTACCCTGAGCACAAATTCTGACCTTATAAATATTATAAGTCGAAAGTTGGTGTAGTTAAAATGTTAAGTATTCATTGTGGTCCATTCGTTGTGAATTCTGAGTGTGATTGCACAAATGACTGTGCAACAAGAATTTTCAACCTGATTTAGCTCTCAGTAAATTTATTAGTAATTACCTCTTGGATGTCTTAAGTGTTCAACTATATCTTTAATCATTAAAATTACTACCGTAGAAATAAAGCATTGGACTGACTAACTAACAACACCTGAACCTTTCAAACATCACATTATGTCAGCACATATCAAACCTCCATCACAAGCGTTCCTTCAGACAACTTTAATGTCTGCAAAGAATATTACAGCAGCAGAGGACAACTACTGGGTGGAAATGGCCTCCAGTACCATTTCACTGGCCGAAACATCAGCCAATACCCGTTTGCCCCATGAAAATCACCAAAAAGCCCAAACAACACTTAGCTTGTACTTACATCCCACCATCATCATGGCCACAGAGAAGATCTTCTCTCCGTCTGTGGTGGGGGCAATGTTTCCAAATCCAATGGTCGTCAAGCTGGTCATGGTGAAATACAGGGACGTGATGTACAGAGAATCCTTGCCAGGGCCGCCCTCCCATTCTCCAGAACCGCTGGCGTTGTATTGGTAAGGCGATCCAATGCTGATAGCCAGCTGATAAAGCCAACTGTCCATCTTGATGGTGTTGGTGGCTTCATCGATAACTTCGTAGTCTCCGATGCTGTACCTGTTTGGGACAAAATCAGAATTTGAATACATTTAAGTACCTAGTTTAAGTAGTTTAAGTACAGCTAGTCTGACAACTGAACAATTTGATTGAGATTTGAATAAAATATCTTCTTCCCCATTTACTTTCAGCAGCCTTGACTAAATGAGAGATTATATTCTAAGAAAGCTGATTTCAACAAATCTGTAAATGTGCTTAAATATCACCGTCTTCTTTCAAATACATTTATATGTATCAATTTAGTTATCCTGTTGGCCATTCGCTTACTTTATGTAAGACAATGTGGTGCTCTGGTTAAAAAAATGCTGCCCAACCCAAATTTAAAGCATGCGGCAGTTCAACATTACAGGTTTAATGTGCAAACATAATAGGCTTCAAATGAAAATGACAGACAACATAATGCAGGAAAGAACTGTTTCATTACAGAAGCAATCACAACTATGATTTCGATGAAAGGAAAACTCTTTAAAAAATATGTAAACTGTTTTTATTCCTTTTATTAATTGGGCGCAGAGCTCTTAACATAAAATCGGACACTTTTATTTCTTATTTGCTTACAGTAGTGAATAAACAACTTCAGTAAATATTCATTACGGTTATTGAAATTGTTAATCCTTTATCATATGACAGACTTTAGGTGTGTTTATGGACTGTTCACTTTAATCTTAATAAAAATAAACTAATGCACCTTTGGAAGTATGCGTTAGAAGTATTTAACTAAGTAATTTGAGTGACTTACAAGAATACAAGAAATGTACAAAAATGACCATGGACTACATTTCAGTGAGCAATACGTTAGAAAAATATTGTTGTGTTAAATGTTCATGATTATGTGAAATTAAGGAACGATTTGAAGTTTAAATTAGCATATTACTCAATATCATGTGGAAGAAACTAAACAAAGCAGAACAGCAGTGTATGATTTTTAAAACACGGATAGGGACAAGGAAGCAATGAGCATGCATGAGTAATTAGGTGCAGTGAGGTTAGGTAAATCCCTAGAAGAGCCAGCAGCAGCCTTTAGATGTTACTACAAGGGAAGGTTTCTTCAATGACTTTTGAAATCATTTCAAACACAGTGTACCAGATGCAGGCAAGCCAGTGGGCCACCAGTCCAAACACGCAGACCAGGAGGACCAGAACAGCAGCACCATACTCCAGGTAGTGGTCCAATTTTCTGGCCACCCGGCCCAGACGCAGCAGGCGGACCACCTTCAGAGAGCTGAACAGGCTACTGATGCCCTGAGCAGCAGTGACAGAGAAAGGAGGAAGGAAAAGGGGAAAAAAGAAATATTAGAAATGTAGGAAGGTATGGGGAAGGAGCAGGACGAGTATGAAAAGAGAGAAATTGGTTATTATAAGTTGCATCCATGTCAAATCTGTCTTAACAGTGTCATCACAACGGGGGGAATGAAACCCTGAAACACGTGTAGAAATGCTGAGACTGATATTTTGTTGCAATAATACTTTGACATGTAATCAAAACAGGCAGAAAATTGGAGCCGCCCACAGCAGCAATTAAAACTTTTGAAAAAGTTTGTTAGAGACCTTTTATGTGCTTACATAAGAGCTGCACAAGGGAAAATGAATTATGGAGCAAAGAAAACTCTAATTACAGCTTTTGTTGTTTTTAGTTTACCTGCAAGTTAATTGTTTCATTCAAAAAGTGCTTTATGTTCACGACTAAAAAAGACTTGAACTACCCAAATTAGGATATGTGCAACAAATAAGATGCATCTTTACAACCACATCAAGTAGTAAAGATATTGAGGTGTTCCTATTCATAACAGCAAGCCCAATTTTCATTACTTTACATTGTCATTAAGCAGTTACCATGTTTGTATTCATTTTATTGACAGAGAAACTGGTAGATATGGTCAAGCGATTTGCAGCAAAACAAGAGAGACTATTATGTTCTAAGCCGCACTTCAGCATCCATCAAAATTACAGCTAAATGACATTTTGTCATTTAGAAACAAATTGTTATGCAGCTCAAAGTTCAACGGGGGGGAAAACCAGCAAAACTGAGAAAAACACAGAGAAAACATAGTTATTAGCCTCTATAATCCATCATTATCTTTCACAACACAATTAGGAACCTAAACCAGCCAAGAATTTAAATAGAGAATCACATTTAAGATTAATGATTGTAATTGTTTTTCAACATTTTTCAGTAAAGCAGAAAAATAGATGCTGGTAAACGCTTGATAAAACTGGTTCTCCGGTGTTTGACCATTTGGATTACTACATGTTACTTTTCATACACAGAAACACCAGGATCTCTATCTTTTTGTGCATCCCAAAGCTATAATATTGAACTAAGGCTGGTTGAAACATATGTTTGGGATGTTTATTTCTCCATGGATTTGGTTTTTATTCTTTTTCTAAAAAGTATTTTTATTACTATTACTTTAGTAATAAGTTACACTTAGTTACACTGACCCAAGCTTCAATGTAAAAATTATCCCAATGTTTTGTATCCTGTTTACAAGCCCTGAAAATATATTAAAGCTCTGAGTATGTCTGTGGATGTTTCTCTGCTCAAAGCTTTTGTAGACTGGTTCGCTTTGACTGATCTAAATACGATTTCAGTATTTAGTGAGTAATTTTTTTCATTTACTCCCTTTAATTTATTTGTTGACATAAAATGAGCTGCTTTATCACAGGTACCTGAAATAAAAATACTTATGTTAGCACATGAAGCAATAAAGAACAACAAGCCTATGCACTAACTACACAACAACAACAACATGTTGCCATCTTATTTTCTGATTGATTGACATGGGTGTTTTTTGGTGAGGGGTTGTTTTACTTGCAAGCACTTTCAGGTTGTAAGCACTTTTCTTAGAAAATCTGTTTTTTCACCGTTTCTTCCTGCACTAAATGTGACGACAACATTCTGAAAAAGGATGGTGCAAAATATTTATCACAGCTCTGGTTTTACTTGGCTGTCAACTGTCCAAATGGCGAGTCGGCGAGGCTGTGTCTTGTTGCTATGTTAAATAGATCATGTGATTTGGACACATTGTCGCAGGCATTAACTCCAACGGGTTAAATCACATTTTTTGGTGTTTATAAAAAATGCTCGATGATGATGATGATGACAGTTTTTATTTTTTTCTCTCCCCCTCATCAGTATGTGGATGAAAATACAGCAAAAATAACCGTGTTCCTAATATGAAGTATATGCAACAATCGTTTTAATCTCTTAAACAGATGAAGACATGCAGTGTTGCTCAATGTCTGATCCCTGAAGACTTCAAGGACCAGAGATGGACTATAGACAGAGTTGAGGATGGACTCCTGGATCTGTTACAGCACTTACAAAGACAGACTAAAACACTGCAGCCTTAACACCAACGCCAAGCTTCAGTTTATGGATATGATGATTTGGTAATTTATTTCAACATGTGAACAATATACAAGTACATTTAGAAAAGAAAATAAGAAAGAAAAAAAATACTGTACAAATTACATACAAAAAAAATTATTAATTTACATGTTGAAAGGGAAGAAGTAAACACTTATTTAATCCCACCCCTTTGCCATAAATTATCAGTTAATATTTAGTCAGCTTCCTTACTGATATAATTTGTAATAAAAATAGTGAACAGATTTCTGATATACTATATACTATAATATCACATCATGAGTTGTTTTTTGTTTTGTTTTTTAAATAGAAACATTCACTTAATTTAAATATTTTCCTTTTCTTTATAGTTCGAGAAGATCATATTTTTATAACTCTTTTTGAACAGTTTTATGTTTGGACATTGCTTTAATTCCATATTCAGACTGTTCCATAGTTTCACTCCATGAACAGAAACACAAAAGCCTTTTCTTGTAGTATCTACCTTCATTGTTTTGAAGTTACAAAAACCCCTTAAATTATAACTTCCTTCTTTCCAAAAAATTCTCATTTCATAAAACACTGCAGCCTTAACACCAATGTCAAGCTTCAGTTTATGGATATGCTTTTAGGAAACGACTTCTCTTCTCTTCCGAGGACAGAGTGCTGTGGGTGTGCCTTCCCTACATACTGACTTCCCTAGACTCATCCAGTTCATCCAGCTAAAGGATATTTTGGCCCAGAATCTTACAGGTTCCTCAGCTTTGGTTTGATGCAGAGCAGAAACTGCTCATTTCACAGCACTGAGGAGACTACAGTGAGAATGATGAACACTCCAAACACAGATGCCCATGACAAACCAGAGGACATCAGGTCTACTAGCTGATAGACCAACAGATATTTGTAATTTGAGATTATCAAGACAAACACATACATTAAAATGAAAGAATTATATCGGTTTAACATAAGGCAACTAAATACACTCAACATTAAAAAAAAGTTTAAATGTGAACAAACATTTTTGTGTTATATTAACATGAGATCAGGCACGTGCAGAGGGGGGGGCTAGAGGGGCTTGAGCACCCGCCCCTTTAAACGTCTCTGCACGGCCCTGCATGAGATAACTTGACAAACTTGATAATTTAACATGTAAAAGTTGTGCAGTTATAAAAAACATAAAGTTGACTAAACATAAGTTTACTTCCTGCAACCGATGTACTGCACATATTTTTTCATGTCAATCCAATAGGTTATTTTTTCAGTGTACTACTGCTACGTTATTAGGTCCTGATTATTCAAGAACTTTTTATTTGAGGAGAAGGAAATTAAATTAAATTCTCCGTTTAACAGGGAGTCAATGAAGAGAAGCCAATGTAGGAGAAATATTCTCTCTCTTTCTTCTCCCCATCAGCAGTCTTACTCATGCATGCATCAACTGAAGGCCTTTCAGGGCGTTTTTAGGGCAGCCTGATAATAGTGAATTACAGCAGTCCAGTTTAAACGTAATAAATTCACAAACTAGTTTTCAGCATCACTCTGAGACAGGATGTTTTTAATTATAGAGACGCATGAAAGCAGTCGTACATATTTCTTTAACATGTGGTAATCACACAGCCGAAAACCACTGAAACAGGCTTTTTAATGTCATTGCTGACATGGCCATGACATGCAGTTTTTTCCAGCTGGCTTCAGCCCCAGAGGTTAAGACTAAAGCACTGATATCACTAGTCTGGGTTCAGTGTAAGTGTTAATAATAATGATACTCATAACTGATTCAGTCTTATTATAGTAAGACAGCATTAGAAAAATAACTGAGCAGAAAGGCCCGAAGCATCAACAGCACACCATACTTTTAACATCAGCGAATGAGACAAAGTAAATAAATAACACTACGACTCTTTTCAGCTGTGTTATTGTCGGCTTTGCAACACGTCACTGCCGAGGCGCCTGAAAGAGAAAGGTCTGTCTGAAAGCAGGAACATGGTTTCAGGGGGTGTACATGAACTAAAATTCACGTGTATACAAAGAAAACAAAACCTGGAGCTCAGTTATTTTTGGTGTCATCCCCACTTAAACTCTAACGAGTCTTTACAGAATTATCACAGTGTGCAGGTGCTTATGCAGCTGAAAACAAAGCTGTCTTTGGACGTATCAAATGAAAAATGTGCCGAGAGATCAGCAGCTTTATAGAGAATACTTCTTTACAGTACTCTGCAGTCTAAAGGTTCAATACATACGGTTCCTCAAAAGCTGTAAAATATAAATGAGAGATTAGGCTAGAAATGAAAACAGCTTAAGTCTGTGAAGGTTCTCAGTCATCCAGGTCATTGTAGTCAAAGGAGCTTGCAGAGCT